TGTGCGGACTCGTAAATTTAGCATTTCTTGAAAACCAGTTTTTGAATCGTTCTGAAAATTTGGCTATAAGCTTAATTTTTGATTCTCTACAACTTTTCCATTGACACCAAAATGGGTTTCTTTTGAAGAAAGTGCTCAAACTGTCACATATGACAATAGCCGGCAGTTTTCAATTCACCAACCCAATAGTACCTTTTTCTATTAGAAAGAGCATGTCTTAAAACCTAAAAAACACGAAAAATAAGCATACTGTAAAAAGTAAAAATTTTCAAAATAGAAACTTTTTGCTTTTTGCTTCAAAATTTGCTAAATCAACCGTTTCAAATTCTTAAACACACTATGAAAATATCTTTATTTATCGACACAATTAACAATCAAAGGTTAAAAATCAAAACTAATATTCTGTACACGCACCAGAACGATTAATTACTTGAAAAATGCGGTCTGGCATTGAATTGATGAGGTTTTGAAAAGCAAAGACGTCGACATAGCTTCAGGTCAAACGGATCGCTGTTTTAATTATAAATATACGTCTTGAAACTGACGATGGTTTTTGTAGGCAGCTCGGACAAGTATTCGGCATAAATTCCCTATCGGATTGACGTCAGGAGATCGAGCGGGTCAGTCCAAAGTTGCAATGTTGTTGTTGTTCAGCCAGTCTCGGGTGTCTCCGGCTCGATTTGCGATTTCCCTTATTGAGTCGCCAATCCTCAAACGGGCATCATCACGCTGTCTTAGGTACAAATATACGTCTTGAAACTGACGATGATTCTTGTAGACAGCTCGGACAAGTATTCGGCATAAATTCCCTATCGGATTGACATCTTTGCTTCTATTAGACTTCTATTAAAGGGGACTTCTATTAAAGGGGACTTCTATTAAAGGAGACTTCTATTAAAGGGGACTTCTATTAAAGGAGACTTCTATTAAAGGGGACTTCTATTAAAGGGGACTTCTATTAAAGGGGACTTCTATTAAAGGGGACTTCTATTAAAGGGGACTTCTATTAAAGGGGACTTCTATTAAAGGGGACTTCTATTAAAGGAGACTTCTATTAAAGGGGACTTCTATTAAAGGGGACTTCTATTAAAGGGGACTTCTATTAAAGGGGGAGGGGCTTCTAATTTCCACCTGTTCTTTTGAAAAATTTCAAGTTACCAAAATTGAATATACTGACAGAGAGATTCGTTCAATAAACTAATTTTCTTTCTATTTTATTCAAAAAAACAATAGAAATATTAAAAACAAGTGCTAATAACCACCAACATTTAGCAAAAATAAATTGAAAATAATCAAAATCAACATCAAAGTCATCGAAGCATCGGAGTTAACGAAATTATCGGCTTTTTCTGGATCATTTTCTTTGCGAGAATCCTGAAATCTTATCGATTCGAAGGGTTCTAGAAGATCGTCGTTGCTTTCCATGCAACCATCCTTCAGCATGCATTTCTGTAGAGATCAAACCGTTTGAAACAGTGGATCAAGTGATTTTCATCTCCATTTGAAGCGATTCTGATTCCACATATTTTGAAAAGTTTTAGGATGGTTTCCCGTTGAGTGTATTCCAAGCATTCACAATCCAGCTTAATTAGATGTTCATTGAAGGAGGCTTTGGATTGTCACCACTCGCAAACAAGGTCGATCAATCTTGAAGAAATTTGCAGCCGAGTGAATAGAAGTCGATCAAGCCATTTTCACAAAATCGAGTTTCTCTTGATGCCCGATCGTTTTCCATTTTGTTTTCTTCTTCAACTCCGTGCTTGCAATCGAATTTGCATCCACATCGCTTTCAAACCAAGACACCATTCAAATCGTCTTCTTGAAAGAGAACTCGCTGAAGTTCCTCGCTTTCACCGGAACTCCTCCAATCCGTCGTCAAAATTGTCCATTCTACTTAAAAAGAAAAAAACAGTTCGAAACATATTGAGAAACTGTAAAGCATTGAAAAGTTCAATGATTTACAATTTCTCAACAAAAAAGTGTAAAAAAAAATAAAGAAACGTAAGAAAATATTAAAATGAAATGAGCAAGAAGTGTACAGAAGATATGCAAAAAGTAAATTGTGAGCAAAAAGCAAAAAGTAAAATGATGTAAATTGTGAGCAAAATAAATGCAAATTTGGGCGGGTTTCTATTAGACGGGAGGCTACTATTTTTTCCCTCCTCTTCCAAGGGGGGGGGCGGCTTCTATTAGTGTGCCGAATATTCGACAGCAAATTCAAATTTGGGATCTAAACAATCAATTACCTTTTGTATTGCCAATTTTCGCGTAGAGCATTTAGCCCGTTTACTGAATATCTTTAATGTTGTTTGCTTTATTTAAGTGTTTTTGAATTTGAAATTTTGAATCAGAATTTTGTATCCCTTTTTCATTCATATGAAAGAGATACACTTCTTGTAAATCGAATAAAATTATTGTTTTGGTTGATTAAAGTTGATTGGTCAGATTGGGGAAAGATTTGTCGTCAATTTGGGAAAAGGTTTGTCGATTGTGATCAGATATCAAATGTCGATTGTGATCAGATATCAGATGTCGACTGTGATTAGACAATTGACTGTGATTAGAGGAGGAAGCATCTCCGCCCGGATAAAAGATTGGAGCGGGTATGGTCCTCGCACAAAACCAATTTTATTCAGTATATTGGGTTGGCGAGTTGTAAACGATCGTTTTTTGGTAATGTGTTTTCTGAAAAAACGGCTTATCCAATCAAAAAAACGGTTTGCTTCATTCAAAAGCCCTATCCTTAATCTACAAAATGACCTTTTTGAATTTTTCAAAAATGTTTTATTTTAGAACTTTTTTATCCAATCTTCAGAAGGCATTTTAATGTAAGAGTTCAAAATCCTGATTTCTAGCATTCATGAGCGAATATATTTTTTGAGCTATTTTTGAGTGATTGCATACTTTTCAAAATAAAACGCTTCATCGATTACATAGTTTCCCAAAATTTCAGAACAATCCAATCGATCGAACCGTTCTCTTTCTTTGAATCTTTTTTTTTTAATCTTGCTTAAGTTCAAACGAAAATGGATTAAATTATAGAAAAAACAAAAACATACAAAAGTGCATTTTGAGCCTAATTTGAAAATCAACCTTCCGAAGATTGGATTTTTCTGAAATTTTGGCAAACTATTAGCTTGGTAAATATGAAAGGTTATTTTTTACAAAAAATATTGCCCTGTCGTTACGAAGAACATTCCCTGTCTAGGATTTTTCTCAATAATATGTCAAAATGTGCTCATGTTTTTTTTGCAAAAACATTTTTGTTTTGAACAATATTTGTATTGTTTCAGCTCGGCAAAGATGGATAACCAAAAATTTAAAATCAGGGCCGCCATTTTCTTTGAATTCAAGTTAAACAAGAAAGCTACGGAATGCCATCAGAACATTTGTACTGTTTTTGGAGAAGCTACTCTTACTTACAAACAATGTTGTGTTTGGTACGGTCGCTTCAAAACGGGAAACGAGTCATTGGAAGACGCACCACATGGAAAGCCGCCGATTACTTTGGACGATCAGCTGTTACTGAACGAGGGTCGACTTGGATCCATCGCAAAAGTGTAGAAAATTAGCAGAAAAGTTCGGATGCACTCATGTTACCATTTACACGTTCTTGGGAAATCATATCGAAGCGGGAAATGGCTCCCCACGACCTCACTGATGCCCACAAAGTCACACGAGTCACCTTGAGCTCTGTTCTTCTACGTAAAGCTAGCCATCGTGACTTTTGGAAGTATTTTTTGACATCTGATGAGACTTGGCTTTCGTATGAAAATATTCAACTCTATGGACAGTGGCTGAGTTCGAAGCGGACCTCTCATTCTATCCCGAAGCCTCCGAAAAAGTTATGCTTTGTGTGTGGTGGAATGCTAAGGGATTGGCTCATTTGGAAATATTAGATAAAGGAGACACTGTTGACGGGAGACTTTATGCAGAACAAATGGGTCGAGTCGATCCAGCATTGAGGAAAAAGAGGATCGATCCATCGAAGGTCAGATTTCTTCACGACAATGCTAGGCCTCACATTTCAAAGATCGTCCACGAACAAATCGACAAGTTGAGCTGGAAACTTCTTCCACACCCACCATACAGCCCTGATCTAGCCCCATCGGATTACCATCTCTTTCGGTCAATGAAACAAGCAGTTTCTGGACAGCAGTTCAAACAAAAGCAGGACATCGAAAATTGGGTTGCCAACTATTTTGCCTCTAAAAATCTTTAATTTTATGAGGACGGTATTCGTGATTTGGGGCAACGTTGGAAAGAAGTTATTAATGCTTGTGGTGAATACATTTGATTTTGAAAGTGCTTAAATAAATTTTTCTGTTATGTTAAAAATGATCAAAAAAATAACCTTTCATATTTACCAAGCTAATATGTAATCGATGAAGCGTTTTATTTTAAAAAGTATGCAATCACTCAAAAATAGCTTTTGAAATAGATAGATTTTGAACTCTTACATTACAAAAACATTACAAAAATAGATTTTGAACTCTTACATTAAAATGCCTGAAAAAGTTCTAAAATAAAACATTTTTCAAAGATTCAAAAAAGTCATTTTGTAGATTAAGAATAGGGCTTTTGAATGAAGCAAACCGTTTTTTTTGATTGGATAAACCGTTTTTTCAGAAAACACATTACCCAAAAACGATCGTTTATAACTTGCCAACCTAATAGTTAGGCTTCTATTAAAGGGGGCTTCAATTACAGTATTTACGGTAATTTTAAAAAAAAAACCATATTTCTTTTCTTTTAGGCTAGTCACCTAAATTCGAGCCAAATCGTTCGATGTTTTGATCAACCGTTGTTTACAATCAACGGACAGCCACCAGCGAGGGATAACTGTGATCTATTGCAAGAGAAATTTTATGAATACCTAACTAATGAATACTTTAGTCCAATTGCACAAGAGTTCGACGATGAGTACTCACAGACTTTGTATCCTTGTACATCAGAAATCAAGAATCAAAAGCAGCTCATCGTTCGCTCACTCGACGCAAATGACAGCAGTCTTTATGAGTACGCTGTCTCATTTCGAGTGAAAAAATGGGTGAATGGTGAGCTGGAATCTGTGAAAAGCAAAGATCTTTAGTCTCTCTATCCGTTCTCGTTCTTCCATTCGATGCCACAGGCTACGACGAGATCGACAAAGTGCTGGTTCGACGCAATGTCATGATCACCGTAGTGACCAGTCCATTGAATCGCAAGTTGGTTGTGCTTACTAATCGATTAAACCAGTTGGTTCACCCTAAGTTTAAGGGACGGCCATCACGTCATCTTTTAGCGAAAATCATTGCGCTTTTGGCTCAAATGTAGTTAAATAATAATTTTAAACTAGAATTTGATTTTTGTTAGTTTTTAAGAGCAGCAATTTGTACACGCCTCCACACGATGTACATGGTGTCCCAAAAGTTTGGAAACTTTTCAAAATTGGTTTATTTTTGTGTAATTTGTGCAACTCTTTTTGCATTCTAGCTTTCTGCATTTGCTTATTAATTATTCGAACTTAGTTTGATTCAAAAAACTAGCTAAAGTTTTTTTAGTCACTGATTTGAAGGATGGATCGCAAGAATAAGAGGACCGTAGTCTTGGAGCTACACAAGCAGGGAAAGAGCTTAATGGACATTGTTAGAACGACCGGTTACGTCAAATCTATCGTCTGGAAGGCTATTAATCGATACAAGGCATTGGGAGATGATAAGGACCATCCAAGAGTGGCCGTCCATCGACCGCCGTCACGCCGGAAAACACGAAGCCCGTTGCAAATACGGCGAATACGGCAATGCGTTGCCTTATCGTTGCCTTATCGTTGCCTTATCGTTGCCTTATCGTTGCCTTATCGTTGCCTTATCGTTGCCTTATCGTTGCCTTATCGTTGCCTTATCGTTGCCTTATCGTTGCCTTATCGTTGCCTTATCGTTGCCTTATCGTTGCCTTATCGTTGCCTTACGTTGCCTTATCGTTGCCTTATCGTTGCCTTTCGTTGCCTTATCGTTGCCTTATCGTTGCCTTATCGTTGCCTTATCGTTGCCTTATCGTTGCCTTATCGTTGCCTTAATCCCACACGATCGAACAGTGTCTGGAGAATTGTCCACAAGAATCTTGGAATGCGCAGCTACAAATTCAGACGGGTAATGACAACATGAGAAAAAAAGAGGAAGCTCTAATGCAAGAAGGATGATTCGGCTGGTCGCAAATGGTTGCTTGGACAAGGTTGTGTTTACCGATGAGAAGACTTTCACCGTCCAACAATCCACAATCGCCAAAACCATTGCCAATTTCTTAAGCGAGGCCTCAAGAACACTTTTGCAGCAAAACTGATGATGCGGCAACATTTTCCTGCTTCCGTAATGGTCTGGGCGGGCATCTGCGCCACGGGGAAGACTCCACTTGTGTTTTTGGGTCGAAACGTGATGATCAACTCAACAAAAGAGCTGAAAGATGTCTAAGAACCGTGGGCAGTGAATCACCGGATGGCTTTACTCTTTAACATGATTCGGCTCCAGCTCATGGAGCTCGATCAACGCTCGCTCTTTGCTACCAACTGGCTTTTGGGGAAAGGACGTCTGGCCTTCGAATAGCTCCATTTGAACCCGTTAGACTTCTCGATATGCTCAATTCTGGAAGACAAGATTTCAGGCAAACGATTTCAAACAGTGGTTTCCTTAAAAAACGCTTTGAAGAGAGCCTGGTCTGAGATTTTTGTGACATCGTGAAGAAAGCCTTGTCCAGTGTGCGACCATTGTCAAGAACTTTCCCAAGCGCTTAAGGGAGGAAGTTGATAGAAGAAATTTTGAACATTGGTATTAGTGATTGATTTGAATTAATGGAGTTTAGTACTTTTGTCTACCTTAAAAGAAGTTTCCAAAATTTTGAGACACCCTGTAAGGTAAACGCCAAAACTTTGCCACAGCTCAACTTTACCATTGAAAAAAGTTTAAAACTAATCGATTTTCCTCATCTTTATATTAAAAACAGCACGAAATGTCTACTTAAAGATCAAAATTCGAAAGTTTGACACCTCATGAACGATTTTGGATTATTTTGCACCGCGTACTGATCGTTGAAAGAATTATTTTTCTTCCAGAGCCAAATCAGATGATGTGAGAGTGTACCTGAATCCAACAGGTCTCGACCAACATACGCGCGATGGGGGATACGTTGATAAATGCCCGACTTACATGGTACGCTTATGCGAGTTGCTTTTGAATCGATTTGTTTCAGCCCGACCTCACGTGTTTCTCTCTTAGCAACTATTTGGCTTTCTTCGGTCCGGATCCGGGTTTATTGATGAGAAATTCGATTAAGCTTGGACTTAAAGGGTAAACTCAAATCATTAAACGTTTTTTTTTTGAATAATTAAAGTGACTAATTTTTAGTTATCCATACCTGTACTCACGATCAACAGCAACCACAATTCTCTCCACAGACGATTGTGTCTTTTGTTTGTACACTAGACTCGAACGTGATTGTGGGACCTTATAAGAATAAAGAGCCTAGAGCCATAATTTCAAATAAGCAAGTACGATTTTAGCCTATCCGGTAGAGCTTGACTATTCTCCTACTCTTCTTTCGTCACACAATTTCCCATGGGCATTCGATGATCCATCTGATTTCCCCGATTGTCAAACTTTTTATCCACAACTTGGATCAGTTAAGCCAGAAATAAGATAAAAAAAAGAATTCCTTTTCAGTTGAGCCCAGAAAATTTGCTGCAAGTGTCAGTGAAAACAGTAGAAAATGGGACTCTAACTCTCGGCGTCAGTAACGATTCGATCTGCCTTTTTGCCAGATTTAAGAAGATCAAGTAAGAAGGGCAGTTTGTTTTTAAAAAGCTTACTACGGAAAATAGTTTTTATAACAGCTTTCCGTTATAAAACAGCCCTGCAGGACAGCGATCATTTTGCCCTCCACCACATTTCACTTTTGCCCCCCTCCCCCAAATGGGGGGCACAAAGATGGAATGCTAAGCTTTGCCACTTTAGTCCCATCCCCATCTATTCCACATTCGCTCCCACAGGACGCCGAAATACAACGAACGCTTTTACGATTCCACATCTGCCTCCCACAGAATTTTTATTTTCATCTTGATAACTTATTATCGTGGGGGGAGGGGGCAAAACGATACGATCATTCTCCCCCCACCTTACTTTGTGCCTAGAGAAAGCCTAGAGATGGGGGGCAAAATTGAAAAAGGTCCGGGTAAATACCCGTTGGTTTTTGCTCCCCAATTTTGCGTTGTGGGGGACGAAATGATACTTTTAAATCGTCACCCACGCGGGGGGCAGAACTGGAAAGGTAGGGGAGCAAAAGTGGAATGACGTTTCCAGTTTTGCCCCCCATTCTAGATGTATCAATTTCCCCTTTACTGTTTAGTCATAAAGGGTGGGGGTCTAATCCGGAATCCGTAATGGCGGGGATCTAATCCGGAATGGCGGGGTTCTAATCCTTAATCGTGGGGTTCTAATCCGGAATGGTGGGGGACAGGACCTGGAGTGGGGGGGCGAGTGGATATTTCCCCAGCCCTGCCATTGTCTATATTATTTTTCTTTCAGTTTAACCGCAGAAATGACAAGCCCTCGGGTGTATGGGGCTAATTGTGTAAAGGTTAGTTTGAATGAGCTGGCGAATTTCGAATATTTTATCAATTTAAATCAATTCGAATCAATCAATTGCGTTCAGTTTGAATTCTGTCCATTGCTTCCGTTAAAAGATCTATCCGGATTTATTATTGATGTCAGTCTACCAGTGCTCGATCCACAAAAAGTAACATGTCATCGAAAAGTACAGCTGACGCCCGATGACCCGCAAATTGTTGTCCATTTCCGTGGTTTGCTATGAAACTTCGATTTTTATTAAAAAAGCTTAATTTACTATAAATTTTATTGAAAAAGAACCGTGAAAGTCCTGTGATTTCAGACTTGGCAGAGGGCTCTGCTTTTTGTGTAGAGAACAAGTGCAATCTCGCTTCAAATGATTGCAAAATAATCGTCGACATTTCGATGATTTGTCAACGTGCTGATTTAGTTACTTTAAATAGCATAATATATAAAAAGTTGATTCCAGAAGCTCTGCAAACCATCAGTTATCCCATACTTGTTCAATGGTCGATCAACGGTGATGAGCAATTGGACGGTCAAGTTGGGTGCAATATGAAGAAAGTGATTGATCGCTTTTTACAGAGAAATAGCGGATGATTTTGTGGTGACTTCACAACGGCTGACTTTTGACAAAATGATGTACCTGTACTCAATTAAAACAATCTCGTTCATCTATCAAACCGCCGTCTCATTTTTAGCTGCCGACGCGGGATTTGGTTAGTTTGAGGAATTGAGCTTGAATTTTGTAAGATAAATCGAAAAATACTTGTAATTATCTGAAAATAAATACAAACAAACAAACTAACTAACTAGTTAAACAAACAAATAACAAAACAAACAAACAAACAAACAAACAAACTAACTAACTAGTTAAACAAACAAATAACAAAACAAACAAACAAACACACAAACTAACTAACTAACTAACTAACTAACTAACTAGTTAAACAAACAAATAACAAAACAAACAAACAAACAAACAAACAAACAAACAAACAAACTAACTAACTAGTTAAACAAACAAATAACAAAACAAACAAACAAATAAAACAAAACAAACAAATAAAACAAAACAAACAAACAAATAAAACAAACAAATAACAAAACAAACAAACAAATAAAAAAAAACAAACAAACAAATAAACAAACTAACAAACTAACTAACTAACTAGTTAAACAAACAAACAAAACAAACAAATAAAACAAAACAAACAAACAAATAAACAAACTAACTAACTAACTAGTTAAACAAACAAATAAAACAAACAAATAAACAAATAAAACAAAACAAAACAAAACAAAACAAAAAAAAAATAAAACAAAACAAACAAATCAACTAAACAACAAATAGTTCAAAATTAAAAGAAAAATTCCAGAAAACGCCGAGTTTCACTTGTGGCCAAGCGACGCCGGGTTGAACAGGCCCTTGCTCGCCCATCTTGGTGCCACCGAGAATGAGCGATGGGTGACCGTGAAAATACAACTGAACATAAAGCAATTGCAGAAGTTTCGTTCGGTAAATTACACTTATCAAATCAAAAAAGCTCATTTATGACGAAACAGGATCGATCAACAAAAGCTTGCAAGTACCGTTGGATCGCCGGGCCACCAGCCGGCATCGCATTGCATCCAGAAAGGGAATTGGCTGTGTTTAAGTAAAGTTATTCAGAGAAAGGATTTGTTTTTACAAGTAGCAGCAATAAAACAATTTTTCTTGTTTTTCAGCGATGACCAGCCATTTTTCGAGCAACCCCTTTATGGTGATCAGTACAGTTTCCACATTCCGGCCGGTTGTGCTCCAAGTTTAGCCATTGATATAAAAGGCGGTAGATAAACTTTTGATCTATTAGACTGACCCATAAGTCTTGGTAAAACTTTGTTCTTTCGAAATAATTGTTTATGCGCTCGACTTTCTCCGTGATGTTTTCATCCAAAAAATCGACTTATTAGTTCCCTTTCAAAACATTTCATTCGGAGACTCCAAGGCTTCTTCCATTTTTTTTTTATTCAAAGACTACCCCAAATCTTTCACCATGACATCTGAGACACGTTATGTTGTATGAATTCAAAAAAAGGATCTTCCTAGTCTTTTGTTGATCCAGAATAATATTGTAAATGTGTATGGCAATGACACTCCTTCTTAAAACACGTTTCAACGTTGATTTGCCAAGTTCAGAAATGGTGAGAATTCCCTTGAAGACGAAGAACGTGCGGGAAAACCTTTTGAATTGAAAAATGAAGAGATTCTTCAAAAAATTCAAAATAACTCTCGGTTTTCTACTCGTGAAATAGCGAATGCGATTGAGCATTCACATTCAACAGTGGAAAGACACCTTCATGAGCTGGGTTTTAAGTCAATTTTTGTTCAATGGGTACCTCATGCCTTTACGGACCCAATGAAAGCGCAGAGATCATCAATTTCAGCTGCGATTCTTTCGAGATATGAACGGAAGTCTTTTTTGCCGCACTTAGTGACTGGAGACGAGAAGTGGATTCTCACGGCAAACTTTCAAAGAAAGCGTCAATCGTAGGGCCTGGAGTTACAGCTGCCAAGGATGTCCTCCCTGTTCCCCCACCAAAAGAAGTCTATGCTATCAGTTTAGTGGGAGAAGAAGTCTCGGAGAAGTCATTTACTGGGAACTTCTTGAAAATAAGCAGACCGTTAATGCTTTATTATACAGCAATCAGCTACAAAAGCTCGAAGAAGAAATCAAGAAAAAACGATTTGAATTGAAAAATGTCTTTCTTTTTCACGACAATGCCCGCCCACATACAGCAAAACTCAATCTCAAAACTCCGCAGCCTGGGCTGGGAAGTCTTACCTCACCCTCCTTATTCTCTGCCTCTCGGATGCTCTCTCAATCATCTTTTTTGATCATTCCCTTGATGGGGAGCATTTTCAAAACAAAGATGACCGCAAAAAGTATTGGATTGGTGAATTGAAAACTGCCGGTTATTGTCATATGTGACAGTTTGAGCACTTTCTTCAAAAGAAACCCATTTTGGTGTCAATGGCAAATGGAATCTCAATGGAAAGTTGTAGAGAATCAAAAATTAGGCTTATATCCAAATTTTCAGAACGATTCAAAAACTGGTTTTCAAGAAATGTCAAATTTACGAATTTTCACAAATGAAATGGCGGAAAAGGAGGGGGAGAGGGGGTTACGGTATCTGTCTGTCTTTCTGTCTGTCTTTCTGTCTGCCTTACTGTACGGGCATTTTTTCAGCCGTATTTTGACGAAAATTTACGGAATTTTCACAAAACTTGCAACAAAACTAGCATTTTAAGCGAAACTACTAGGTGTATCTTTTTGGAAACTTGGCTATAAGCCTAATTTTCGATTCTCTACAACTTTTCTATTGACACCAAAATGGGTTTCTTTTGAAGAAAGTGCTCAAATACTCAAACTGGGACATCTCGACATCTCCAGTCCTCCAATTTTGAGTCTCACACTTGTCTCACACACAAACCAAAATCCTACTACGAAAGAGGAATCCGCAAGTTGCCTGTAAAATGGGCAGAAGTCGTCAATAATAATGGAAATTATTTGAAATGATTTGGTGGTTTTACGTTGAATAAATTTTAGTTCAAAGTCCGGCAGTTTTCAATTCACCAACCCAATAGCTTCAAAAATATTTCGACTCGAAACAAAAAATTTTCTACGAGAAGGGAAGACGCCAACTTCCAACAAAATGGGCAAAGATTATTCAAAATAACAGGAACTACGTTGAACTGTATTTCGAGTAAACTGCTTGTTTGGTTGTGAAAATTTTTTTAAACAAAACTGTTACCAAGACTTATGAGCCAATCTAATATTTGAGGAAAAAAAGCACTGTTATTTAGACGTTTGCTTTAGATTGCCTCGAGTACACAAGTAATTTACGAGCGCAGAAAATTTGCGACGGACAAATGTCGTTGGCATCGAATGGTTACGGCTCACCGGCTTTCATCAATTCCTACGCAGCACTTACTCAAAAGTACAATGACATCAATTATATGATCACTTGCGGTTTGTTGTTTAAAATTTTGAGTCCAAAATCTCCTTTAGCCTCATGGCCTATCGATATCAACATTGAGGTGAAGTCGGTCAACGACGGAACGCTGACATATCAATTTTTGAGTCTCAACGATGATCAAGAGTTTGTATTAGGGTGGTGCAAAAGAAACTGCCGATGGGTATCAGCTCTCATTTATCAGAAACGAGCGATGCTAACGGCATTATTTTTTTTATGCTTTGTTCGCACATTTGTTTGCTATTTATTTCGACATTTGAATTTTTTGGTTATTGTTTATTTTATTTAAAAATGCTTACATTTTTTATTTAGATCATGGTCGAGCAAAAGTTTGTGCTACGAGCAGCATTACTGTTTGACTTCAAAATTGGAAAGTCTGCTGCCGAATAGCATCGTTCTCTCTGTGCTGCTTTCGGAGATGGCAGTTTGTCTCTCAGGCAGTGTCAGACTTGGTTCCAACGATTCCGAGGGAGACGGGAGAGGGGGAGACGAGACTTTGGAAGATTACGAGCACGGTTCGAGGCCAGAATTCGTGAACGAAGCCAAGCTGAGGGACGTTATTCAGGCCGATCCATGCCAATCTGCTCGAGATCTTGCGAAAATATTCCATTGTGATCATGTCACCATCGAACGCCATCTTTTTTTTAAAATTTACCGTCAAATCGGCAGTTTCTTTTGCACCACCCTAATAGTTTGAATTTGACTTTATCTTTTGAAACATGAAACATTTAACAGTTTGAGTATTTTTAGAGCAACCACCATCACTAAAGCTCCATACAATGATACCGCTACAGTTGTGCGAGGAATATTGGTTATTACAAACTATAAAATCAGACTAAAACAAATTCAGATTTCTTGGAATAATAATGGGGAAAAAGTGAGTATCAACGGGATGTTTATGAAGATTCATATTGCAAAATCGAATGTAACATCGCCAATGATTGAAAGGCGATTTTTGTACGATTCTTTGAAACGATTTGATGAGGAAATATGCCATGTGCCATTTTAAGTTGTGTATTTTATTTTTCTGTAAACTCGAATGAAAGTTACGATTCTAATAAAATTTGTCAGAATGGACTCATAAAATAATAAAATCTTTTGTTGTTTATGTAAACTCAAATATTTAGGAATTTAAAGTTTAAAAAAAAAAAAGTTTCTTCCGAATTCCGCTTGTTTAAAACAATAACATCCGAAAGAAATTCATGTGAATGGGATTTTTGAAATATTCCAACAGTCGTTCATTGCTTTCTTTTCCAATAATCTTTTCCGTTAGTCGTTCATTTCATTGCTTTTAAAATCGAAAATTTAAGCATAATTACACCAAAATCGGTGTAATTATGCACAAATCGTGCTTTTTTTTTCTTTACTTTTTTCTTTCGTTGGCACGATTTTTGTGACTGGCCAGAGACCCGCTTGATTTTCTTTTGCGATCGAGTAGCGAAATAAGCCTTAAGAATAATCATTGATAAAATCTTCTCCTTTATTTCATTTCCTTCGTAATATCTCCTTCAAAGGTTGCTCAGAATATCCCCTTCAAAAATTGCCAACGTTTTTTTATCACATTATTGATTTCATTATCGGTCTATTTAATTCATTATCGGTTTGAGGTTGTTGCGAGACACTGCAACTCTACTTCTACATCTACCGATCCGAAGAGCCCCAAGAGGTTGTGCCGCTCTACCCTTCTCAAAGATGATACCGAGCCTACTGCATGTCAACCCAGTAATGATTTTGAACGTCGCACATCCTTTCCATCCTCCAGATAGATGGCCGCCTACCTTCAATCGCGATATTAGACTAGCTCGCGAAATGAAGTTGGATCATATGCTGGTGATTGAAGGCATACCAGAAGTCACGATTCATCCGTTAGTAACGTCGGAATTCAGAGGAGCTTTGGATCGTTACATAGTAGAAATGATTTTGATCAGTTATGGGCTTGATGCGACGATCCTTGATTGCTTCCGGATGGGTGTTTTCTCATTCGATCGGCCTCGCCCGCTAAAATTGACTTTCTCGTCAGCTCATGTTACATAGAATCTCCTGAAGAGCGTTAGTCATTTTCCCAGGGCTTTTCTGCCACCGATGTGTAGAAAAATGCAAATTAGACGTTCTGATCCAACAAGATTCACCCGCTCCTCGACGTTTGCAAACATGGAAATGATGAATCCAACAGAAATGGACTCGGCTGATGGGATTCAAGAAGGATGGGAAGATATTGGTGAAAACTTGATGCAATCAACTTCTTCAATTGTGGTGCCAAATCAAGCAACCCCAAAGCGACAAAGAGGCCGACCCAAGAAAAGTCAAACAAATACACAAAGATCAATTGAAGTCGTCAAACGAAAAATTTTTAATAGGAACGGAACCCGGGTAATATTGTGATCGCGGAGACCAGAACGTGATCGAATCAAGAATCGCCTTCTCAACCCGCGGTCAAGACGCGAGGAATTGATGCTAACCACGATATGTCCCCTACTTTGGCCCAAAATTCTCCAATAAAGTAAGACAACCCTCTCATGCTTTAGAAATTTTCTATAATAATGCCCATAGTATCGTTTCTTTGTCGTATGATCGTTTATCCACTTGTCGAGCTATTGCCAGAACCGAAATTTACCCCGTATTAGCTATTAGTGAAAGTTGGTTAGATGATTAGCATTGTTCCTCTTTATTAAATCCCTCTAATAGCTATAAAATTATTCGTTGCGATAGAAATAGTGCTTATAAGAGTCACGGTGGTGGGGTATTGCTTTTAAAAGATACTTTATTCAACATGAATAAGTGGATACAACACAACGGAGGACACAATTTTTTACCCCTACAATGTAGTTAAGAAAAAACCCAACTTAATGGGAAAAAGAACACACTTGATTTTGCCAGCGAGATCGAAACCTCGACCTTCCGATTAGGAGCCAAGACTCCTAACCAGTCGGCCAACTGGACTTTTAATTAAAAATTTCCTGCCGTTCAATACTATTCTTAGCAAATCTGTCCTTGGTTGCGAAATTATTATTGTTGATTTCGTGTATCCCTATTCTTTCCGCCTGTTCTTAATTTATAGACCCCGGATATTTCATTTTCAGCCACAGAGTCTATTTTTAACCTATTAGCTCTTCATTTTCACGAATATAATGGCAACATTCTCTTGGGCGATTTAAATTGTAAAATCACGTGGAAAAATTCGATCCCCGTATACGCTTTGTATCACAGACCTTCATTGATGCTTAGAGATTTTATGATTCTTAACGGTTTACATATTTTCAATCGTTTTCCTACTTTCTTGCGCTCTCTCTTTACTTTAGATGTCGTGATAGCAAATGATGGGAGACGAATTCGGGATGTCAAGAAACTCGCGCCTCTTCCTGGGGCCGATCATAGCGCCATCAGCCTCAAAATTTTGATCAACCAGCCCGCCCCTATCAACAAGAAGCCCAGGTGTTTTTATTTTTGTGCAAATCTCGATAAGGCGGCGTTAGCCTTTTATCCAATACTAAATTCTACATCTTTTTATGACACCAATAACGATCTAAACACGGATTATGACATTTTCACAAGTCTCTTCTTAGAATCTATTGAGCAAAGTTGTCCTCATAATTTCAATAGATGTCCTTCACACATTGCTAGGGCTAAACTTAGGCTAAACTATTTCCTAAACTCATCTTCTTTTGGGAATCCTTTAGATGACGTTGCCCAAGTAAAACTATCCCGTTTTTGCAAGAAATTTGAGCAAAATATTGAAAGACATTAGATCACAAAATTCTTAGCATTTTTTCAGTTATATGAATTCCAAGTCTAAAGAACATAAAAACTTGCCCAAAGCTTTTGTAAACCCAAATAAACTAAATAAACTTATAACTGAACCAAAGAAATTTGTGATCTTTTTGCTCAATTCTTTCATTCAACCTTTGTAATTGTCCCATTGGGCCGTAAACCCACCAAATCTAGTTATTACTAAAAGTTTCCCAGAGCAACCAAGCTTCCAGAGCAACCAAGCTTCCAGAGCAACCAAGCTTCCAGAGCAACCAAGCTTCCAGAGCAACCAAGCTTCCAGAGCAACCAAGCTTCCAGAGCAACCAAGCATAACACTCTTAGACATTGAAAACGCCTTTAGGAAACTAAAACCTAAAAGGAGTGTTAGCCCCGATGGTATATCCCCGTTTTTCGTTAAGTGTCTTTCCAGAATTCTAGGTTATCACATTTGCAAAATGTTTAACAGAATTTTGTATGGTATGGGGATTTGTATGGTATGGGAATCCTTTCGAGACGGTGAACTGGTCAGCTTAGAAATTTGATCGACTACAAGAAATGACTGAAAAGGTAAATTTTTGGCCTTTTAAAGAATTGAATTGAAAATTGAAACCAAAATTGAAACCAAAAAGGACCTTAATGCTTTGATATCGATATCGCCCAAGGAAGAGCGTGTTTCGTGAGCTCAATGAGTATTGTAGATTTATTAAATAGAAAATAAAGATTACTTTGGAAAATTTGTGATATTTTTAGCGAACCATCGTTTCCGATAATGTGGATATTGACGATGAATCGGTGTTTGAGTGTGCGCCGATGAAAGATGGTAAACTCGGGAATACGACGTTGTCCGTTACGCCGAACACTTATCAATTGTCAAGTAAGTTTAGAAAGTCATAAAGTTTAGAGTTTATAAAGTTATAAATCATATACAAAGCTAGATGTAAAACTTCTAAAATTCGATTGGATTGCGCGCAATTGGTACCTCGTCGACACAACTGGACGATTGATCATTTTGTGTGCTGATGAACGGGTGAGTTTTTAGCAAAAAGTTGACAGTAAATGTCGGTGACTCAATAAAATGAATAGCTCTAATCGATTCAAAAGTACAAGCTAAAATAAAGCTTTCTTTTTAGTTCACTTTGTGTAAAACGATTGTCTACAATGGAGTCGACAAGCCGGCTGATCTCGTTGTTGATCCAATCAACGGGTGAGTTGGTTTCAAATTTAAGATATTAGATACTTTTTGAATCCTTACTAGGTTGATGCAAAAGAAATTTCGGTTTTTTACAAACATTAAATTCAATCAAAATTCTTTTAGGTAACGATTTCTTCCAAAAAAATTAACACCATCGTTATCTATAAAATCCCTCCAAAGTTGCTTCAGATTGCGGATCCCCTTATCGAAGAACTCCTGATTCTGTGTTTGAAAGTAGTCGATCATCCTCTGCTAGTAATCGGTCGGTCATCCAAATCTCCATTTGCTCATGTGGTTCGTCTTCAAGAGATTCTTGAAATCGGGCAAACCAGAGCTGGCAGGATCTTTAGGTCAAAAAAGGAAAGTGATCTCTTCTCGTTCTTTCCCCATTCCATTCTCTCATCACTTCATCATCCGAACGAAAGTTCCCATCGATTATTAAAAAACCATTTTTAAACTAGCATTTTTTGTGTTTTTGTTTAATAAAATTCATTTAGAAAGGAGTTTTCATTGGATAATTGAACATTGAATACTTTAACATAACAAACAAATTCTCTGTTTATCTAACGAGCCTATTTTGCATTTGAATCTACAAATGGGATTAATGTAATAGAAAGATTGAAAATATTTTTGACACAGCAAAATGCCTCGAATTTTAAAATTCATTAATTTCTCTTTTTTTATTGGATTTTGAATCCTTCCTGGAATTTGTAGCATCTCCGAAGAGCCACGGAAAGCCTCCAAAGCTTCAAGTCACTTTAAAAAGCCCCCTCTAACCGTGGTTCCATGGTGTAGCGGTTAGCACTCAGGACTTTGAATCCTGCGACCCGAGTTCGAATCTCGGTGGAACCTAGCTTTTCTCTTTTTTCGAAAATTTTCATTTCAGCATTGGACAATCATTTTCTAAAGTTTTCTAGCCATTTGAACTCTAGTAACTTTGATCAGTTTTAGAAATTTAATCCTTTTTTTATTGGATTGGTGAATTGAAAACTGCCGACTATTTCGCGGGACTCGCAGATAAAAAAAAAAAACAAAAAATCAATAAATAGCTTTCAATGCTTTGAAAGAAACTGAAGCTTAAACCAAACCAAAATTACGCACTCGGGAATTCTAGATAGTGACTAGACTTGCTTATCGATATTATCAATACAAACGACAAGCTCATGTTTCATCGTTCAGAACTCAATTTCTAGAACAGCTATCAATCTGCAAATTGTTTCATTGGAAAGCCAAGAATGTCAGCTTTTGATTGCTATAAGACATATAGCAATTCCTCATGGGTGAATGCCTTAAAAAGTAGACTGAGGGCAAAGACGGCTTGCAAATCTGCCTCACGAATGTCGAAAGGGACTATGGCATTGTTATGTGATTCATTTCCGTTTAATACTCTGTCCCGAGAACACGAGTGTCCCGAGAACACGAGTGTCCCGAGAACACGAGTGTCCCGAGAACACGAGTGTCCCGAGGAACACGAGTGTCCCGAGAACACGAGTGTCCCGAGAACACGAGTGTCCCGAGAACACGAGTGTCCCGAGAACACGAGTGTCCCGAGAACACGAGTGTCCCGAGAACACGAGTGTCCCGAGAACACGAGTGTCCCGAGAACACGAGTGTCCCGAGAACACGAGTGTCCCGAGAACACGAGTGTCCCGAGAACACGAGTGTCCCGAGAACACGAGTGTCCCGAGAACACGAGTGTCCCGAGAGCCCAATTTGGTTTTCTACGGTTGTAAAAGCAAAGAAATTACACCTAACAATACTTTTTTTGGGGTGTACCTTGTGCTCAACACTGTAAACATACCCTTTCTGGTGATCAATTTGTATAAATTTGAAAACAAGTTCGGCTCGTGTTCGCGTACTTTGTGTTCTCTCGGAAACGCTCGCTCTCCCTCAAATTTTAAAATCCAGTGATTCCTCTTTTTGATGAATTTGGATGAATCAATCCTGGAATTTAAAAAAAACATCTAAAGAGCCATCGAAAGTCTCGAAACCTTTAAAAGACGCTAAAAAGCCTCGTCGAAACGTGGTTCCATGGTGTAGCGGTTAGCACTCAGGACTTTGAATCCTGCGACCCGAGTTCGAATCACGGTGGAGCCTATCTTTTCTCTTTTTTCGAAAATTTTCATTTCAGCATTGGACAATCATTTTCTAAAGTTTTCTAGCCAGTTTTCTGTTTTCTGAACTCTAGTAACTTTGATCAGTTTTAGAAATTTAATTCTTTTTTTATTGGATTGGTGAATTGAAAACTGCTGGCTATTTCGCGGGACTCGCAGATAAAAAAAAACAACAGCATTGAACAACAGAACAACAACAGCATTGAACAACAGAACAACAACAGCATTGAACAACAGCAACCAGCTGAAAGGGGATTTGGTTACTTCAACATTTCCTCTAATTATTGCGAAAAAATTATGCTTCCAGCTTTTTATTTTTTGGTATTTTTCTTCACTTCTTCTATTGCACTCGACAATCTGCCAATCGACAATCGACAATCATATTCATCATGTCATGCTTCATGAGTTCCTACAAGAGCACAGTGCAGGCTTGGCAGCTGCTATTTTTCTTCACTTCTCGCTTCACTTCTCGCCCCACGGCCCTCTGCATCTTTCAAAGATTTGTCCCCAGATCGAAACTTGGCATATACTCGACAAAAAAACCAACAATCGACACGTTCTTTCGGGAAGTGAGTCCTCCCCATATATCTTTTGGCTTCTGTGGCTACTCGAATAATATATAAACCCCATATATCCAATATTAGCAGCTGCCAAGCCTGCACTGTGAATGCAAGAGCACAGCGCAGGCTCTTCCTACAAGAGCACAGTGCAGGCTTGGCAGCTGCTAATATTAAAAAGATATATGGGGAGGACTCACCTTCCGAAAGAGTATGGTTTGCCAAGTTTCGATCTGGGATCTGGATGAATCAATCCTGGAATTTAAAAAAACATCTAAAGAGCCTCCGAAAGCCTCCAAACCTTCAAAAGACGCTAAAAAGGCACCTCCAAATGTGGTTCCATGGTGTAGCGGTTAGCACTCAGGACTTTGAATCCTGCGACCCGAGTTCGAATCTCGGTGGAACCTAGCTTTTTTCTTTTTTGGAAATTTTTGGTTTAGCTTTAGAAAATCATCTCTAACTTGAAAATACTTTGTAAACAAGGTCAACATTGCAACAAGATGATTGGAAAGATTACTTTAGAAATTGAAAAGCCAACATTACTCTCCATTTGAGAAGCAGGAAAGAGATCAAGAAATTTTTGTTGAAATTTGCGTTTATCAATAACAAATAACTGATAAATCGTGGCTTGTTAAACGAATTTTGTAAAATAAAGTGCAAAAGGCCGAGAGTCTTGGTCTAAATTCACATAAACTCGTGCTAGAACAAGAAGCTTTTGGTACAGGCTTCTGTGGCTACTCGAATAAATTCTCGCAGATGGAAACAAAAAGTTCTTGACCTTCCCCGTTGCTTCTTATCTCGAAGCAGATAAGAATAGTGTTGACTAATGTTGACCTTTTAATAGCCTAAGAGCCAAAAAAATGCACAATAGTTTGTTTACAGCGTTTTCCTAAAGTTAGATATGATTTTCTAAAGGTAAACCAAAAATTTTCAAAAAAATGAAAAAGCTAGGTTCCACCGAGATTCGAACTCGGGTCGCAGGATTCAAAGTCCTGAGTGCTAACCGCTACACCATGGAACCACATTTCGACGAGGCTTTTTAGCATCTTTTGAAGGTTTGGAGGCTTTCGTTGGCTCATTTCCTCCTAGCGCTGTCTTCTATTTTTCATTAAAATCTGGTGAGTATGCCAGAGAGGATGCGTTTGCAGGACGCAAAGTATTGAACAAATTTTAGTATAATCACTACTTGCTTCGACATTCCGTTTTTCCTCTCTTTCCCATTCGCTCTGATCTCTGAAGTCTTTCTCTCTTTATCGGTCAAAAAGAAGGCAAATAGGGCTGTCAGCGAGAGGGAAAACTGTAGTTTGTAGCAAAAAAACGGAGAGAAAAAGCGCAAAACTTGCAAATTTCTTTGATTTCCTTGACTTCCTTGATATTCTTGAGATTCTTGAGATTCTTGATTTAATTTCTTATGGATTCAATCGGTTGGTCGAAACGAGGCGATTGGCGATATGAAGAGAAACGACGACCATTCTTTCCCCGTCTCAAACACACACTAAAGTTGATTCCCGTCGTGTTACGGTAGGTTTAATGGGTTTATCGAGTGCTGTGCTTAAAGCTTTAGTTTAGATAAAATAAAGCTTTAAAGGGACAGGTTTTTGATTGGTTTTTGATTGGTTTTTGATTAGTTTTTGATTGGTTTTTGTCGTAGGTTTTTGTTGCCCCTAAGCGACCATGAGGCCCAGTCCACGAGGCCCAGTCCTAAATGGCCCAGTCCACGAGGCCCAGTCCTAAATGGCCCAGTCCACGAGGCCCAGTCTATCTTTCTCTAATTGATTCAAGAGGGATTTATATATTATATTATATTATAATTTATTCCATTAGTTAAATCACTAGCAAAAAGACAGAACAAGGGGAAATGACCAAAATGAGCCGAGTGCAAAATTGCAGCTACGCGAGAATCCAATTGACGCGACAAAAAGACAGTGCTTTTTAGAATAGATCAATTTATGTTTAACCCAAAAGTTTTTGATTGGTTTTTCATTGGTTTTATTGATTTTGGTTGATTTTGGTTGGTTTTTGATTAGTTTTTGATTGGTTTTTTGATTAAATACCTACAGGGTACCAGAAATAACCCGTCCTTGTCCGTTCTAGTCCGGTCTACTCCCTTCTAGTCCGGTCTACTCCCTTCTAGTCCGGTCTACTCCCTTCTAGTCCGGTCTACTCCCTTCTAGTCCGGTCTACTCCCTTCTAGTCCGGTCTACTCCCTTCTAGGCGATGGCCCATATGCTGTTAGTTTTAGACTAAAATGATTCATTTCTTTTTTTACAAGAAAATCACCAACTCGGCTCGACGGGGTGCACTACAGAGAAAATACGGTATTCAGCTTTCCGCGCGCTCCCAGGGGTTTTCGGCTATGGAGAATCTGAGTTTTGGGTCTATTTTGAAAGAGGGGCGGGGTTTAAGTAGCAAATTCTTAGCACAGCTAACGTTAAAAACTCGATGAATCAACAAAACTTGGGTTTTGTTTAGTCAAAACGCAACTTTCGGTTCATTGCATCAACTTGACTGCTTTCCCCAATTCCCGCTTCGCTTAAATTCCTCGAAATCTCGAGAACCGCTTATCAGAGCCTATCGATGTGGGGTCGGAAAATGTAGCTGACGATGAGATCTTGACGATGATTAGAGCGTTGAGCTTCTGGGAAAACTTAGAAACCGTAAAATAGGCATCAACTCGGCTCGTCGGGGTGCACTACAGAGAAAATACGGTATTCAGCTTTGCTCGCGCTCCCAGTGGTTTTCGGCTATGGAGAATCTGACTTTTGGGTCTATTTTTAAAAAAGGCGGGGCTTAAGTAGCAAATTCCTAGCTCAGCTAACGTTAAGAACTCGATGAATCAACAAAACTTGGGTTTTGTTTAGTCAAAACGCAATTTTCGGTTCATTGCATCAACTTGACTGCTTTCCCTAATTTCCGCTTCGCTTAAATTCCTCGAAATCTCGAGAACCGCTTATCAGAACCTATCGATGTGGGGTCAGAAAATGTAGCTGACGATGAGATCTTGACGATGATTTGAGTGTTGAGCTTCTGGGAAAACTTAGAAACTGTAAAATCGTCACCAACTCGGCTCGCCGCGGTGCACTACAGAGAAAATACGGTAGCAATGTATCTAGACAAGATTACAAAAGTAATTCACCCAAAAAATCGAATAATAAAGCTATCGAATAATAAAATTTCAATCTTTAGCTTTTTTCTCTATCGTGTTCGGGAATGGTTGAAAGGTCGCGGGGTTTTCATCGATTTTCTTCAACAAATGACCCATTTTCCATATACTGGCAAGTCTTTTTTTTGATAGTTTTCTAATAGTTCTGAAAAAAATAGATTTACAAACTTTATTTACACAGATAGACTCAAAATTTTTATTATTAAATCTCTTAGACACCGCCACTAGGTCACGGATTTAATAGAATGATTCAAAACTGTAAAGGACAAGTAATTTATCCATCTTTTTCGAGATTGATTCAAAGTAAATCCCACGGTTGGTTCAACGAGAGGTTCTTTCTTTCGTTTTAGAATATTCCAGTCACCTCCAACTCTTTTCCAATAAGAACTGTGAGAATTGCCATTTGGAATCGACTCCCCAGAGTTTTGAGAGAGTCGGATAGTCTTGAAACCTTTAAATTATCCGTAGATGATCTTGATCATCTGTAGATGAACTTGATCATCTGTAGATGATGTTGTTCTTGAAGCTCTAGTGGATTCTTGACGTTTTCTTTGCTACCCGGAAGGTTAGCGATTGGAAACGGAAAGATTGGTGTATGAGAAAATGCCCGCTACTCGAAAATGCCCGCTACTCGCCGCGTAGAGAGCCGAATTCAAAGAGACCAGGAAAAAAGTGGGTCGGGATGAATGCCTTTAACTGTAGATGATGTTGTTCTTGAAGCTCTAGCGGATTCTTGACGTTTTCTGTGCTACGCATTAGGTTGTTCGGATATAAACAAGCGTTTGCACTGCTTAACTCGTGAGGAAGCCATTTCCCGCATTTGATCGCCTTTCCAATAGCGTCTAGATGCACATCAATAGTAGAATTTGAACATAGAAACTGTTGAGCAAGTTCACGCGTCGTTTGACATGGACCCGATTCGATTGCAGCCCTCAAAATATCTTTGTCTACTGCTTGAGGTCGACGAGAGTGTTCATCATCATCATCCTTCATCATCATCCATTCCGAAACCGTTGGAACCAGGCTCGGCATCGGCTTTCGGACAATATATAATTCCCAAATGCTTTGACCAAATCTCGATGAGATTCCGCGACTGTTTTTGCCCAGTTTGAAGTCGTAAAGTAGGCTTATTGATAAGTAAAGTAGACGCGAACTTTATATTTGAAGTCGGTCATCTAAAACAAGAAAAAAAGATCTTAAAAATAAGAAATTATTCGTCTAAAAAAGATTCCAAATATGCACATGATAACGCTTTTAAATACAGAAAGACATGTTTTAAAAGCTTCTCTCACAACAAAAATTTTAGCAACGATTGTTTATATCCGAAAAACCTAATAGTAAAGTCTGGAAATTGTTGAAATATAGGTTGGAGGATTTAAAAACGGAGGTCCGATCCAGAACTGGATGTCAGATCCAGAACCGATCTAGAACCGACGTCCGATCCAGAACTGGATGTCAGATCCAGAGCCGATCCAGAACTGGATGTCAGATCCAGAACCGATCTAGAACCGATGTCCGATTCAGAACCGATCTAGAACCGACGTCCGATTCAGAACTGGATGTCAGATCCAGAGCCGATCCAGAACTGGATGTCAGATCCAGAACCGATCTAGAACCGATGTCCGATTCAGAACTGGACGTCAGACCCAGAACCGATCTAGAACCGACGTCCGATCCAGAACTGGATGTCAGATCCAGAGCCGATCCAGAACTGGATGTCAGATCCAGAACCGATCTAGAACTGACGTCTGATCCAGAACCGATCTAGAACCGACGTCCGATTCAGAACTGGATGTCAGATCCAGAGCCGATCCAGAACTGGATGTCAGATCCAGAACCGATCTAGAACCGACGTCCGATTCAGAACTGGATGTCAGATCCAGAACCGATCTAGAACCGACGTCCGATCCAGAACTGGATGTCAGATCCAGAACCGTTCTAGAACCGACGTCCGATTCAGAACCGGATGTCAGATCCAGAACCGATCTAGAACCGACGTCCGATTCAGAACTGGACGTCAGATCCAGAAGTCGTAAAGTAGACGCGAACTTTATATTTGAAGTCGGTCATCTAAAGCAAGAAAAAAAGAACTTAAAATAAGAAATTATTCGTTTAAAAAGATTCCAAATATACGCATGATAACGTACTTTTAAATGCGTACTTTTATACAGAAAGACATGTTTTAAAAGCTTCTCTCACAACAATAAATCTCAAACGCTTGTCTATACGCGAACAACCAAATACATTAGATCTAATTAAAATCATTAGATTGCTTTTTTATCGGTCCTTTTTGGTGTTAATTGTATGAATTGATGTGTATTAATCTTAAATCTAGCGCATTTTATTTCAAATCATGAATAAAGTATCTCTCTATATAGATTTATATAATTCTGGAGTTAAAATCTAATTAGCAACTAGCAATTAGCAATTAGCACAGTCAATTTTGTCTTTTCACATCGAAAATTTTCACATCTAGGGGTTCCTCTTGGCGGAATCGGCTCGGGCACAATTGGCACCGATTTCCGAATGGCTTTCAACGCTTTCTCCTTACTGCCTGGCATCAAAGAGAGACACGTTCGCAACATAAAAGCAAATCAGGTACATGATTTGAATGAAATTTTGAAGAAAATAGAGTCAAGATAATGGCTGGAAAATCGCGCAAAATCGTTTGCGCGTTTGCGTTTGGGCGCATTTGCGAAATCGTTTGCGCGCAACTCGATTTTTCGGTTGTAACTCAACCTAAGAAATCTTTTTATAGCATTTAAATTGTTAGAGAATCGTAAACATAAGTAAATCTCAATAGAATTGACTTTTGAATCCACTTTTTGAAACCCTGCAGTGTTACCCTGCAGTGCATTCTAAAATGCACCCAACTACCGTAATCATTTTTTCAAATCGGAGGCTCTTTTTGCTCATTTTTCATCATTTCTTCTATTTCTTTTTTGTAAATCCGTCTACTAACAATTTGAACAATCAAATTTAAGTACTTTTTAAATATTTCGGAAACAGTTTGCTTTTTTTTTTTAAACTTTTACAGGAAATTATGGAACTTGCTCCCAAGCGACATACGAGAAATTCAGTCGCTTTTCATATTCAAGAAACGTATCGATGCTTTAGATCTAGTGGCTCTTTGCCGTAAGTAATTGGCTTATTGATTTCAGTATGTATTGTATGATTAAGTATCACTGTGCATTTCTCTATGATTTCTTTCACTTTATCGTTTGAATAAAGTATTACCGTATTTCCTCTAATAAACGCCCCCCCCCCCTTGACCAACTTTGGACGCTTCGTTCTCAGCTCCATTTGGAGATATTTTTATGTTTAATATATCAAAAGATAGAAGACATTAAGGGCTATCTTTTGATATATTAAACATAAAAATACCTCAAAATGGGGCTGAGAACGAAGCGTCCAAAGTTGGTCAAGGGGGGGGGGGCGTTTATTAGAGGAAATACGGTATTATTATTAAATGAAAGACTCTGAATGTCGGAAAGAAAATGTTTAATGAAAAATGAAAATAATAAGAAAGATAGAAAATAGCATGATTTACAGTAAAAGGTTGGTAATTACAAAACTAGTTACCTAATTTTCTTTTTACTTTTTAACAAATATGCGAAATCGTGTTCATGGTTGAAAGCAGAAAAGCCACTTTTCGAAAAATGATAGAAAATTGGTTTGGTTTTTTGAGAAATCATCGTGCAAACTTTTTCCGAGAACTTCCTTTCCAACCTAATAAATCCAGCGCTGTTAAAGCGCTACTATTCTTAACACACGCCGCAACAATGGTTGAAGTTCTTCTATTGTGAATTTACACGAAATTATTAGTTAAAAAGTTATCGAACATTTAACTAATGTAAAATTAGATTACCATATTTCCTCTAATAGTAGTGCACCCAGAGCGTCGTCTAAATTCCTCGAAATCTCGAGAACCGCTTATCAGAGCCTATCGATGTGGGGTCGGAAAATGTAGCTGACGATGAGATCTTGACGATGATTTGAGTGTTGAGCTTCTGGGAAAACTTAGAAACTGTAAAATCGTCACCAACTCGGCTCGCCGCGGTGCACTACTATTAGAGAAAATACCGTAAAGCCTTACAGATGCAGAAAGTAATTTCTAGTTCATTCTCACCGTGCACAACGAGGATCAAAGTCGTCTCTTGTACCAAAAATGTCTTACCGCGGCGAGCTTTTCATCGAAATCGCTAAGCGAATGGGAAATCGACTTCCCGAAAGAGAAACTACAGTAAGATTTCTATAAATTTTGTCAAATTTGAATTGATTTGATTGATTTAATTGATTTGATTCCAGTTATCGAGGCCTATACCCAAGATCTTGGACAACTTTCACAATAGAAGAACTTTCTCTGGAGTTGACTTGTGAAATCGTTTCGCCGGTTATCCCAGACAATTATAAGGTTTATCAAAAGGAATCTATGTACTAAAATCTGAACCGTAATATGTTATTCATGAGTTCGTGCCTTTCGCTCACTTGGACACCGCCTTGGTCACTGCCTTGGTCACTGCCTAATAAGCTCACTTGATAGATTTGGAAACTTGAAATTCTCAGGACTCATCTTTCCCAACGAGCTGCTTTCTGTGGAGCATCAAGAATGAGGGAACTCAAAACCTTCACATTACTCTCACATTTACTTTTCGCAATGGTACTGGAAATCCAAAATTTGCTCGAGAGGCAATTTGTAGGTAAATTTTTCAAAATTTTCTAGAAATATTGATTTTTCCAGAGCACAAGAGGTTGATGATGAGGAGTTTTTTGGGGTTGAAATCGTGCATTCGATCAACGAGATGCCGACGAATTTTGGCATTTATTCGGTGGGGTTTTTGATTTGGTTTTTTTTTCCTTAAAATTTCTAGATGCATTGAGTTGGTGAATTGAAAACTGCGGGACTTTGAACTAAAATTTATCCAACATAAAACCATCAATTCATTCCAAATAATTTCCATTATTATTGACGACTTCTGCCCATTTTACAGGCAATTTATGGATTCCTCTTTCGTAGTAGGATTTTGGCTTGTGTGTGAGACAAGTGTGAGACTCGAAAATGGAGGACTGGAGATGTCGAGAGCCCAGCTTGAGCATTTGAGCACTTTCTTCAAAAGAAACCCATTTTGGTGTCAATAGAAAAGTTGTAGAGAATCAAAAATTAGGCTTATAGCCAAATTTCCAAAAAGATACACTTAGTAGTTTCGCTTAAAATGCAAGTTTTGTAAAAATTCGTAAATTTGGCATTTCTTGAAAACCAGTTTTTGAATCGTTCTGAAAATTTGGATATAAGCTTAATTTTTGATTCTCTACAACATTTCCATTGACACCAGAATGGGTTTCTTTTGAAGAAAGTGCTCAAACTGTGACATATGACAATAACCGGCAGTTTTCAATTCACCAACCCAATATATTGACTATTTAAACGATCATTTGATGAAGAATGAAATTACGCATCGAATGACACCAAAAACAACTTAAAATATAATATTCATGCAAAATAAAATATTCGTCAAAATACGGCTGAAAAAATGCCCGTACAGTAAGGCAGACAGAAAGACAGACAGAAAGACAGACAGATACCGTAACCCCCCTCCCCCTCCTTTTCCGTCATTTCATCTGTGAAAATTCGTAAATTTGGCATTTCTTGAAAACCAGTTTTTGAATCGTTCTGAAAATTTGGATATAAGCTTAATTTTTGATTCTCTACAACTTTTCCATTGACACCAGAATGGGTTTCTTTTGAAGAAAGTGCTCAAACTGTCACATATGACAATAACCGGCAGTTTTCAATTCACCAACCCAATAGAACTAATTTTCTTACAATGTATCAACAAAATTTAGGACAAAGCACACGAGACATCCGCGAATTTCTTCAATCCGAACGGTGATGGAGACGATTTGTGGACGAGTTTGAAGCACAGATTGAAAAATGGTAGTTAGAAAAAAGGCAAACCATACCAAAGCCTTTGGCTCTGGCTTGGCTTGGTCTAAAAATTTGGCTCTTTTGCTAACCCTGGCGATTGCCAAGCAGTCTTAAGCTCTAAAATTTTATTATTCTGTAGTTTTTACTACAGACTCGACCTGCTTAACGAGTCCGGGCAAAATTTTCGGACAGTCTGCCTCGCTCTTCGATTTTTTTTACTACCCAAAGCTCCGTCGAGCATGACACCCAGTTCCCCCGCAAGCCCTTATTTTAGGCCTCATTTTGATACTAAACATGGCTAGGTTCTGTTTTGCCATTCTTTGGATTTCGATAAAAAAAAAAATCATTTTGGATAAAAATTTTCGTGGACTCGTTAAGCTTATCGAGTCTGGTGAAAGATTGATCGAAATCTAAAGAATGGCAAAACAGAACCTAGCCAGGTTTACTCTGACGATTCTGACTACTTGTCTTTGGATTGGATGAAATATGGATGATCTTTGGATGAAACAAATAAGACCTAAACAGGAACCAAATAGAAAACAAATAGGAACTAAACAGGAAACAAATAGGGACTAAACAGGAACCAAATAGGAACCAAAAGTATTTGGGTCCCCCGAAAAATCCCAAAAAACAAGCTTTTTGCGAAAAATTCGCATTCAAAAGCCGACATTCTAATATATTTATTTAGAAGTATTTAGATGCACTGAAAGCTGAGTCACAAGAAATCGGAGTGGCGTTGAGTCAACGATTCGAGAGTCGCTCAAAATCGAGCACTGACGCTCGTTTCGCTCTCGTCTGGCACATGCCGATCGTGAAATTCGCAGGCGAGAGGCAATTTCGGAGGTGAGTACGAAGGTTTACATAATATTAAAGAAAATTGTTTTTTAAAGCTTGACAAATTTGTTTTTTAGACGCTACATTCGTTTCTTTTCCACCTCGCTCGATGCTGGCTTTGAAATTGGGAAATTCGCGCTGAAAAACGTGGATCTTTGGAAGGAAGAGATCGAGAGATTTCAAAAACCGATTTTACACTCACTTTTGTTACCGGATTGGTTTGTTTCGTTTCAAAAATTTCACTTTAAATTCAGGACTTCGAAATTTGAAGAGAATAGGGGAAATTTAGGTTCAAATCGTGTCTCCTCAATGAATTGTACTTCATTTCGGACGGCTCAACTTTGTGGTAAAAGTCTAGATATGATTTTTGTTCTTGCTCTTGTTCAATATTGAGAAAATTAGATAATTTCGAGAAAATCGTGAATTAAGGTTCGAATTCGATGAGAATTGGCGTAAAGACGAGCCGGGAATGAGCGATTTCACCGCCGATCACTACAAAGAGTTTGGCCGTTTCGGATACGTGGAATGTAAGTGATTTGATTTTGTTTTTATTTTCTATTTCTATTTCTTCACTAGGTTAGCTAGGTTGGTTTGAAGCCCTAGGTTAGCTTGAAGCCCTAGTTTAGCTTGAAGCCCTAGGTGGCTGGAAGCTCTAGTTTAGCTTGAAGCCCTAGTTTAGCTTGAAGCCCTAGGTGGCTGGAAGCTCTAGTTTAGCTTGAAGCCCTAGTTTAGCTTGAAGCCCTAGGTGGCTGGAAGCTCTAGTTTAGCTTGAAGCCCTAGTTTAGCTTGAAGCTCTAGTTTAGCTTAAAACCCTAGGTTAGCTTGAAGCCCTAGTTTAGCTTGAAGCCCTAGGTGGCTGGAAGCTCTAGTTTAGCTTGAAGCCCTAGGTTAGCTTGAAGCTCTAGTTTAGCTTGAAACCCTAGTTTAGCTTGAAACTAGTTTAGCTTGAAGCCCTAGGTTAGCTTGAGGCCCTAGGTTAGCTTGAAATTAGATAAAATTCACCCTTATTCGTCCGGGATTCAAGTCAAATCCCTAGTTTCTGTGCCTCATTCCTAAAAACGAACGTTTGATCTAATATTAAGGAAAAGAAGTTGCCAGTTTCAGCTTTTCGCTGAAAATGAGCTTGATCTTTATTATAAATCGCGCTGGGCTTGCGCTACGCGGCCGCATGGAGAAATTCTCCATATATAAATTGTCCTATCCAAAAATATAGCACAGATCGAAATTGGTCAACTGGGACCGAACCCTGGAGTAGCGACTACGCGCCATTTCGTTTGGTTTACTAACTCGCACATAGACCCGTTTGCCAACTGCCAACTGGCAGTCTGACTCGAATCTGACTTTAGATTAGGCATCAGCATAGTCGAAAACCCCTGTGTCAATTTCCATCCCGAAAAATAGATTCCCTGCTTTTTTGACAGACGAGCATTTCATAATTATATAATTCAAAGACAATTCAAAGACAGGCAAAGAATAACATAGAATTCTTTCATAGAATAACAAAAAAAGTAAAACAATAACCCGCGCTCTGGATCCGATCTCGATCTCCGAGCCCACGAGCCCCGGATCTGGAGACCAGCGCGCTATCCCCTCGGCCACACCTGCTCCTTCACGCCTCGAAAAATTTTCGTGTGCACGGACGGACGGACGGACAGATAGACAGCTCTCAATTATATATAGTAGATAAAATTTCAGCCTGGGAGTACCTGATGGTGAACACGTACGATGTGCACTTCTACGCGAGTTGGGCTCTTTTCGAATTGTGGCCCCAACTTGAGCTGGGCATTCAACTGGATTTTTGTGAGTGACAATGAACTGAAAATGAGGGCAGTTTATAAAACCATCAAAACCTATCGTAATCTACTTTTTATACCTGAAATAGTAACGCCGTAGCGTCGAGTATAGGAGCGTCGCGTAGTCTAAGTTTGCTCTCAAACAAACGCTCATATCTCGACATCAGTACGTCTGTTTCTACACATTTAGGTATCAAATTAAAGTAGAGAGAATGGGTGATCTTTTGAGATATAAAATGTAGTTTTAGCATTAACCAGCGCTTAGAATAAAATGATTGAAAAATGATGGAAAATCGTCTGAAAGAAAAATCGTTTTTATTCGTCGGATTCGTTTTTAAGAGATTCCAATTCAAATCTATGCAATTTTCTTGCCCCTAATCGATTCTTATCTCTAAGAGGCTCATTTAGCTGATCAATTCCGAGCGATCAACCTCACATCGACGCAGGCGCTGCAGGGTGGAGAGGCGATGGTACAGAAGAAAACAGGGCGGATCCCGCACGATGTCGGGAATCCAAGTGGGTAAAACGATCCAGAACAATTTTTAAGATAAAGATCCAGAATACCTACCGTAAATACTGTAATAGTACCCCAACCCCCCATCGTACAGTCGCGTAGTCGCAAAAGTTTTTTTAGTATTTCATTGTTTTTCAAAGCGCCCGTACTTTCAAAAAATGTGTTTTTGGTATCAAAAAATAGCCCTGAATTTCAGCTATTTTTTGATATCTAAACGAGCATCATATCATAAACCAGTGTCGAGAAAAACTCATTCAAAGCTAGACTACGCAACGCTCCGCACCGTCATTATGGGGCTGGGGTACTATTACAGTATTTACGGTAAGTATTCTGCCTGCACAATCATCGTAAGTATTTTGCTAATGTGGTATTATACAACTTTGAATGTTTATTTAGGCTTATAGTTAGTTCTAGGATAAACATACGAAAGCTGTCAAAGCACGGACATCTTCCCCGCAATCATCGTAGCTTAAATACTGCAATAGTGTCCCGCTCGTACAGTCGCGTAGTTTTTTTAGTATTTCATTGTTTTTCAAAGCGCCCGTACTTTCAAAAAATGTGTTTTTGGTATCAAAGAAAGCCCTGAATTTCAGCTATTTTTTGATACCTAAGCGAGCTTTGTAGCATAAACCAGTGTCGAGAAAAACTAGTTCAAAGCTAGACTACGCAACGCTCCGCACCGTCATTATGGGGCTGGGGTGCTATTACAGTATTAATTTTCAGAAGGAGAACCGTGGCTAGAGGTAAACGCCTATTCTCTGCACGATACGAATGAGTGGAAAGATCTCAATCTCAAGTACATTTTGCTTTCTTATCGAGACTTTCACGGAATCGTCGAGAAGCGTTTCGATAAAGAAAAGGTTGATTTCTATGAATTTATTCTTAAAGTCTCCCCATTTTTCAGTCAAAACAATTCCTCGAGTTTTTCTACGATCGATCAGTGGAGATCATCGAAAGAGGCTTGATGGAATGGGATACGGTAGATAAATAGGTGTTAGGATAAGCTGTGTTTAGGATAAAGACGGAATCATCGAGAACAACGGCACACCCGATCAGACATACGATATTTGGTCGATGAATGGCACTAGGTAAGCTCTACAAAAAGTTACAATAGCTACAAAAAGCTTCTCCAATTTCAGTGCCTATTGTGGAAGTCTTTGGGTGACAGCCGTGGAATGTGTTCGTCGAATGGCCGAACAACTCGAGAAAGATGACGATCGGAAAAGATTCACCGATTTGCTGCAAAAAGCTCGTACGGCACTTGTGGGAAAATTGTGGACGGGAAGGTGAAAGAAGCATTTATTGGCCTGGTCTAAAAGCTACCTAGCCTGGTCTAAAAGCTACCTAGCCTGGTCTAAAAGCTAGTCCCGTTATTTAATAAGCTACCGTACTTCATACGGCTGTTAAACCTAATCACAAATGGCTTATTTAGAGTTTAAATTTTCAAACGGTTGACTCACCGAGCAGTAAATTTGAATACGTTTTGATTTGAATACGATTTGCTTTGAATTTAAAATAAGAACGGTAGTAATGAGTACAAAATAGGGGAATAGTGAGTATGGTAGCGATGAGGACAGAATACGGTAGGGGCTTTAAAACCGGATTACTGTCGCTTTTTCTCAAGCACTTTAACCAAGAAAGGCACAATTTCGTTAACACTGACTTTTAGCTATTTTGCTTTCGATGAAAATCCCGATAATCGCTCACTTGTGATGAGCGATCAATTGTGCGGCTTTTGGTTTCTTTCGTTGATTGACGGGGAAATTTGTGGAGACGTTTTGGGTGAAAATGGTGGGAAAATGATCGACGAAGCATTGAAAACGATTTACGAAAAAAATCTGAAATCGGTTTTCGATGGAGAACTGGGACCGATCAATGGAATCAGGTACGGGAAATTCGTTTATAAGAATTTTGAAACAAAATACCATATTCCTGTTAAAACAATTACCATATTCCTATTCCTAAAACATTTTACATATTACCGTAACCTTTGACGCTATTTTGTTTAACTTTTGCTACCGTAACCCTACAGTAATATAGTGGACTAGTTCAACTTATGGTTACGGTAGCAAAAGTCAAACAAAGGCACAGGTACGGTAATGTGGTTCCAGAACGAACGGCCAAATCGATTTGGGAAGCATTCAAAGCGAAGAGATTTGGTCAGGGATCGCTTATGCTCTCGCCACATTTCATTTCCTTAAAAGCGACATTGTGAAAGGACTCGAGTTCGCGAGCGGAATCTTTCATAGTTGCTACGAGCGGTTCGGATTGCAATATCAGGTGGGTAAAGCTGAGCAGCCAAGAACTTTTTGTAAGCGAAAGTGTTCTGTACCTTGTAGAAGATCTGGGTCAAGTTTTCTCTAAGTAGAAGATCTGGGTCAAGTTTTCTCTAAGTAGAAAACTGTACTTAGAGTACTGTAATCAAAAGCGTCTCAAAAATATCAGCCAGACTCCTAGCCAGTCAAAAAAAATTCCGAAAAGATCAGTCTTGTTTTCTAAATCGTGCTTTTCTCACAAAATTCATCTCTACATCTTATTTTAGACCCCAGAAGCAATTTTCCCGAAGAACTACTATCGAGCGATTGGCTATTTAAGGCCACTTTCCATTTGGGCCACACCAAGTGCGTTGAAAATTAAAATGAATATAAATAAAGACGAATAAATTATCGATTTACAATTTAATCAAAGAACAAAATGCAATGAGTTTATTATTTCCTCAAAAAGTTTTCAATTTCAATTCATATGATCATTTGGCTTTGGCTTTGGCTCATTTCGTTGTTCTCTCCTTGTGCGCTGGCTTTCCCAAGAATCGAATAAGTTATGAAGACGAGTATGGCGATCACCACTGCCTAAAGAATACATTACAAAAGCAAATGCCAAGAAGTACTATAAATAAACGCTTGACCGTAACCGTTATCTGATCTTAGAAATAGCTTAGTTATCAGCTATCTACCAATCCTGAGAGCTAATATTTTAAAGCTGCTTATTGCCATAGTTTTACAAAACCCACTCTCAATCCTGGGGACAATTGGAAGTAGAAATCGGAGATCGCGTTCACGACTTCGCGCACATCAATCGTCTGCCAACGCTCGGAACTAAAAAGCAGAATTAAAACTGCACTTCTAGGTCAATTTCTTACAGTGCAAAACTTTAACTTTAACAAAACTGAAAAACAAAACTTTGTCAGTGTAAAACTTTAAAAACTGACTCGCTGCTGGATGCGATGCCGTGTCTGGACTCGTTTTGCTTGGCAAGCGCGTCGAGGATGAGCTGCTTGGTGGGTGGATTGCTTCCATTGCACACAACGTCCTCATTCACAAAACACTAAATAACAACGTTTATGTAAATTAAGACTACCATGCTATTCTAGCAATTAATAATAAAAACCACCGTCAAACGCGTCGAACAACGATCCTCGAGTGGCGATTGCCCATCGGAGCCACTCTGATCTCGGAACTGAAAAAAACAATTTGTCAAAGTTGTTATCCAAATGGTTTTATAGAAATAGTTTTAAAAACAATGTAAAAGCAAAACAAACATTTGTAATTAGAAGAATTTTTGCCGATGAGATCTCGTTCCAATTGCTCGAATAAGAGGGCAACTGCCAAGTGAGAAAGAGGCGAGCCTGACTTTTCGCCGCAATATTTCCTGATCCGGCTGGTGTTGCCTAAAAAGGAAACAGTATGTATGGTAGTAAAAGATAAAGCGAAACACTTACCATAAATAATCATATTAAGCTAAAAATTTAACAAATTAAGCTCATTAACTTTTAATCGAGGCAAGTTGAAGTACAGTCGATTTTTCTTAAGCGCAACTCTTAGAAAACTTAAAGATTAGCCAAAAAAAGGCTTATTTTGACCTTATCAAAGCTGCATTATTTGAACTAGCTAAACTAATTTATAATTTAGTTTATAAGTACCGTAAATACGCTAATAGAAGCCCCCTATAGAAGCGTTGCATAGTCTAAGTTTACTCTCAAACAAACGCTCATATCTCGACAGTGGTACGTTTGTTTCTACACGTTTAGGTGTCAAATTAAAGTAGAGAGAATGAGTGATTTTTTGAGATATTACACATATTTTTAGCATTAACCAGCGCTTAGAATAAAATGATTGAAAACTGGCAAAAAAAGACGATTTTTCATCATTTTTCAATCATTTTATTCTAAGCGCTGGTTAATGCTAAAAATATGCGTAATATCTCAAAAGATCACTCATTCTCTCTACTTTAATTTGATACCTAAATGTGTAGAAACAAACGTACTGATGTCGAGATATGAACGTTTGTTTGAGAGTAAACTTAGACTATGCAACGCTTCTATAGGGGAGCTTCTATTAGAGTATTTACGGTGACAAGTCTTCTACAGCCTTACTGAAACATTCTTTGCCTATCAAAATCCAAAAGTAAACACTAACCGAAATACTAGTCGAGCTGCATTTGAGTGTGAAGAAGACGGGTCTCTCGTAGGCGTTACAAAGCACAAGTTGCACCCGAGCCGCTCTTCGTTGATCGTCGAGAGTCGTGAATTTGAGTGTTGTCGCCTTTTTGTGTTCGGGTGGCATTTGCTGCGAGCATTTTGGAGAAAGACCTAAAATGTAAACTTTAAATATATACATAATTTTTCGACCAACGAATGGTTTACCATACTACTATCTAGAAAAAGAAGATTCATTAGCAAACACAAATTTAAAAACAAGCTTTTATTATGTTATTATCGTCACAAATCAAGTTTAATTGTTTTTTAAGTAATAAAACAAACACATGTAAAAGTTCTTTTGAGGCTTTTGAAGAAAAATGTCCAAATCTATCCAAAATAATTGATATCTCAAAGAATCTACCTCCTTTCCTGCTCGTAGAACTCGTCAAGCTCAATTCATCTTTCATTTGAACGTTGATACTAAAAGAAAAGTAATAAAATAAGCAAAGAACACATGTAAGTTAAAATAGAATCAAACTGGAAAAATCGTTATTTTCAACTCTAAAGCTCAATTTGAAAACTAAAAACGAACCTGGAAGACGTGAAAGAGGGCTGCATTCTGACAAGTGGAAAATGTGAATAATGAAGACAAGTGTGTGAATTGAAAAGTATAAAATGAAAAGGAATGGGAAGAAAAAAAGACAAAAGACACAACTTGCATGCAAATTTCGTCTTAAAGACAAATTTTTTGAGAGAAAAATGGAGAATTCAGTGAGCTAGAAAGGGTTTATTCGCATACATATAACAAATGATGTGCCAGAAAGAATCCGTTTCTATTTTTTGAGAGCAATATGTACAGTGGTTCACAAAAGTAATGCCCCATTGCCATTCAAAAGTATTTTTTGCAAAATTTCGGGGGTGGGACAAATGCGACCTTTTTTTTGCGCACCTGGACATTTGCGCACCTTTTTTTTTGCTGGAAAAGGCCTTAGGCAAGGCCGTAGAGCTTCGAGAATATTTCGAAAATATTTTCATATAAGGGAATCGTATGCGTAGATTCCGAATTTCGACAAATCAGACCTCGCTGACACGTCAACTTTGGGCTAAAAGGCAAAAACTACGCAACTTAACGCTTTTCCGCAGTTTTTGCCTTTTAGCCCAAAGTTGACGTGTCAGCGAGGTCTGATTTGTCGAAATTCGGAATCTACACATACGATTCCCTTATATGGAAATATTTTCGAAATATTCTCGAAGCTCTACGGCCTTGCCTAAGGCCTTTTCCAGCAAAAAAAAGGTGCGCAAATGTCCAGGTGCGCAAAAAAAAGGTCGCATTTGTCCCACCCCCAAAATTTCTCCTAAAAACATGTATTTAAAATATATATTTTTTTCTTTTAAAATACTTTAGAAATTCTAGTTGTAAAATAACTGGATTTTTTTGATTGAGATCCTTCCAATCAAAAGATCGATGTGGAAGAGTGCAATTACCCATAAAATGTGTTTAAAATATTCTAAAGGCCTTCAAGTAGCTTTGCAAGTTTATTTACTTACTCTAGAAGCTGGAAGAGAATGTTTTAATGAAGAGTAGGTTAAAGTGACTCCTCCCGAAGACATACAAGGTGAATTCTTTCCTCATTTGTTAACCGTTTACTTTAAGGATGCTTTTAAAACTTTTGCTGGCGGCGAAATAAAACATACGAAAGCTGTCAAAGCACGGACATCTTCCCCGCAATCATCGTACCGCAAATACTGTAATAGTGTCCCGCTCATACAGTCGCGTAGTCGCAAAAGTTTTTTAGTATTTCATTGTTTTTCATTTTCATTGTTTTGAACGGATTGTTTTGAACGCATATTAAATCTCGCACAATAGGCGTTCGCCCACAAAGGTGTCTGTCTAACCATTTCCATCCGTGGTGATCTCGATCACGAGATCGTCACGACAGGTATATTAAGATAGATATTAGTGACTAGTTTGCATTTGAATCTCCAATTGAATCTCCAATTACTGTGATGGAAAGTTTGAAAGATTTTTGACACAGCAGAATGCTTCAAATTTTAAAAACCATTAATTTCTCTTTTTGTTTAGATTTTGAATCCTTCCTGAAATTTGTAGCATTTCCGAAGGGCCACGGAAAGCCTCCAAACCTTCAAAACACTTTAAAAAGCCCTCTCTAAACGTGGTTCCATGGTGTAGCGGTTAGCACTCAGGACTTTGAATCCTGCGACCCGAGTTCGAATCTCGGTGGAACCTAGTTCTTTTGCTTGTTTTGAAAATTTTCATTTCAGCGTTGGTTAATCATTTTCTAAAGTTTTGCTGGCCATTTGAACTCTGGTAACTTTGATTAGTTTTAGAAATTTAATCCTCTTTATTTTAATAGGTTTCAATAAATATTTATTGAGCAAACAGAATCATTACTTCACAATGGCTCGATCTTGATCGCTCATCTCCTTAGGCTTTTCCTTATGCACGTCCTTAGGCATGTCCTAAAGCTCACAGGATTTTCAGGTTACAATCAGTGGACTCACAATGTGAACTCGATTCAAAAGCTCATCGTATTGCGAAGTGTCGAAGCCTAGAGCGAGCCTTGCCGCGTGTTCAGCACTTCCCCATCCAAGGGTGAAACCATTCCCACCGTGCCCGTAGTTATGAACAATCTGGATAAGTAATTCTAGTTAAGCGTTTAATTTAAGCAATTACAAGACTGTAGTCTATGCAAATTTGTAAACAAATCTACAATAATCTTTTAATTTTTAGGAATCTTTTGAAAAAGGAAAAACCTATGAACGCTATTTTTAGCTCTGAGTCTTTTACTGTGAAAACTACTACTCAATCAAACTTGTTTCTGCTTAAAGTAACAAGAAATTTGTTCAAATGACCCAGATGACCCTCATGTGCAAGACCCTCATGTCCAAGACCCTAATGCCCATGCCCCTCATGCCCATGCCCCTCAGGCCCATACCCTCAGGCCCATACCCTCAGGCCCATACCCTCAGGCCCATACCCTCAGGCCCATGATGCTCCTGCCCATGACTCTCAGGCCCATACTCTCAAGCCCATACCCTCAGGCCCATACCCTCAGGCCCATACCCTCAGGCCCATGATGCTCCTGCCCATGACTCTCAGGCCCATACTCTCAAGCCCATACCCTCAGGCCCATACCCTCAGGCCCATACCCTCAGGCCCATGACTCTCAGGCCCATACCCTCATGCCCATGACCATCATGCCCATACCCTCAGGCCCATG